ATAATGATAACAACCTTAAGGTTCTGGAGCACAACATTTTGACTTCTCTCTGTAACAATTTTAATCTTAAAACTGGTAAACAAACAAAAAAATTTCTTCGGCTTCTATTTATTTTTTCCTGAGTGACCCTAATACACTGTAGTAACAAGGTTTCTAAAATTTTCTCCAAAGGGAGAGAATAAAGCAAAAGTGATCAGGATTTCGAAAGCAACAGCACACAGAACTCGTACACAAGAGAGATGAGAATTTAACCCCATGAAAAAGAAAGAGAAGAAAAAAAATGGCTACAAAGATTTAAACAGAGATGCATACATTTACACACCAGTCGCTTACAAAAACRCCAGCCTTTGGAGGACCCAGTTACTTGGACTGCAGAGCTGGAGCAGAAATCACCCCAGCATAGTGGATGRCTGTCTTTAATAATAAGGGCATACAAGTACAGAGAATGGTGAATGCTTAAATAAAATGTATCATAAAAAATCACTCAAATAACCCAGCTAAAATAATGTGTGTTTACTCTATCAGTTTCTTAATATAGTTGCACTTTTAACAGCATACAGCAGCATTTTTTGAGGATTAAAAAAACTGTCTAAAAAAACTAAAAGGAAAGAAACTCCTAAAGCAATATGTGGTAACTCTATCAATCAAACTTGATCATCTGCTAACAGTCATGATGAAAATGTAAAACAAAGTGCAGTGAATTACTTTCAGATTTGCAGTGGGTGCACTAAAGCCTGCATCATGCCCCTTCAAGCCCTAATTACTTCTCCTCCGCTCACGCAGAGGAGGGAACAATGTCCACACCTTACTCCTTGTAGAAAAATACATGCACATGACTAATTAAGGTTATACGTAGTTCTCCCCAAAAATGACATCAGTCAAGACCTCTGTGGGTCCCAGGAGAGCTAATTCTTTCAAACAGAACAAATGCTGTCACAGTGAAAGCTTCGATGAATTAAATCTGAGTGAGAATTAAGACTCAGTTCTTGTTGAGATGGAAAAAAAAAACGACTTTGGTTGTTTCAAAATGGTTACATCTGATTGTGGTATTTTAATAAATAATGCTACGTGTCCTCTATGTGGATCTATYTGGTGAGTGAGGCACCTTTGGCCCAGTTGGAGACTGGGATCTTGTTTTTGCATGCCGGGAATCAAGGTCCAAACAGGCACAAGATAGGCCAAGATGATCAGTACTGGACTCGGC